ACTGTCCTAAGGTTGAGACGAAGGATCCAGGCTTGACCTGGTGAAGTAACATGGGACAGGTTCAGAGGGTTTAAATGGAACATCCAAGCAGGGGTGTTAGGTATGGCAATTGGTGGGGAACATTAGGCGGACTCCTTAAATAGGTAATATAGAAAGTTACACGAGTGGCCAATTGTACGCTCTTCCTATAGTAGCTCCTTATGGAACTACATTTCTAAAAATATGTTAATAAAGTCAAAAGACCAAAGAGGTCATCTTAACACCGAAAAAAAAAAATATATTTTATATTATATTTAGTTTATATATATATTATTTAGTTTATTATTTTTTTTTTTTGTTATTAAGGTGACCTTTTTGGTCTTTTGACTTTTATTAATTACTTATTAGTATTGTGGTTCAATGAACCACTACAGAAGAGTATACAATTGGCTACATATATAACTTTTCTATATTACCTATTTAAGAAGTCTGCCTGAAGGATCCCTACCAATTGCTGTCCTAACACTTCTGCTTGAATGTTTCACTTTAAACTCTCTGAACCTGTAATCTGTATTAATATCACTGGTCATCTCAGATACCCTGATTATCATCCTCAACCTTAGGACTAATTTATCTTCGAGATAAACCTCCCAGAGCCTTTTGTATCTATTTTTACAACTGACCTAAATATTGCTATAGCAGAACCAACACTTGCAGTCAGAGCTAACTATTAAACTGCTATTCTCTTGTAAAGTTTACTTAGATCTTAGCATTTACTTTATAGCATAACTCCAGTACTTTAGTATATTTCTGCCTTTTGTCCAGCCTTTTTATCAAACTCCCAATTCAGATAGTCTGTGTAGGACTACAACTAGTCCATTGGTATATTGAGTTGGCCTGATATTTTTTTCCTTTAGTTCGTTTTGGTGGCCTAGTTGGTGGTCCTCTGAGACTCTCAACCTGGAGGTTTTTGCCCATCTGGCAACTATGACTAGGTACTATAACCTTGGTATCTGTTTTACCAAGCTAGCCTTTACAGTAGGGCTGTCAAAGATCCAGCTATCTCTTTACTTGGGTCTTTTCAAATAGACTTCTTGTTATTTAATTTCAATAGATTTACATGGCCACAAGGACTTATCTAGTGTTTGCACTACCTGATTTGTCAGTTTGCATTTTTCTATGTAATGCCATACTTACATAGATGTTCCATGACTTGCCAGTCATGCTGGTGCAACTGCCATTACAGGTATCCTAATCCAATTATTAGTAACAATTGCTATAATATGAATATTACATAGGTAATTATTCAAATTTTTATTATCGATAGGATTTAAACACCCAACCTACCACTTGAGGAGTTAACAACCTGACTACTTTACTAGGTCACTATACCCCTATTATTTAGTTTATTTATTTAATCTATTTTATATATCAACCATATTTTATTTATTTTATTAATAGTAGTTGTAAAATATCTTGTATATATAAAAGATATAGGCTGTTACATATACTATATAGCCAAATAGTATAAAAGTGATCAATGTGAAGCTTAAATTCAATATTGAGTCTTCATACTCCTTTACTAATAAACTATTACTTTATATTACCTAAACTAAACGGTTATTAGTATTCTTATATACTTTTAATTGTAGCCTCTTTATAATTACAAATTGTCTTAAATCTTCTTTGTTAAGTTTTTTTTTAAAAATGTCTTCCAACTTAGTTATAACATAGTAACAAGTAAGGTTACAAAAAGTGTTCACTGTCTAAGGTCATCTAGTTATCTACAATCTTAAAAGAAATAGATATAGAATAACAAATTAGTGATAACTATAAGATTACCTATTCTATTTTGTATAAAAATTGAAAAACAAAAAAGAAAGCTTTAGCTTCATAGAATGTTTCTACTAAGTAAAGTCAATCAATTTTGATCTGTTTAAGATGAAATTTTACAGATATATTCTTCGAAGGATTTCACAGATTTTACTAAGCTTTTCTTAGAATGAAAACCTTATCAGAACCTGTAATAATACTGACAATGTTTTTTCTCTCCAGAAAAACAATCTGCAAAGACTATTGGTCACATGATTTATATAATGAAACCAAATCAAAAATCAAATATTGAGACCACAAAACCAAAATTAGACTAATACTTGATGCCTAGAAGAGGTATTACAACTGCACAAACACCTGAACACATTGAAAACACTCTTGCTTAAAAAGCTCTTTTCTATAAGAAATTTCTTGAACAAGAATTAAAAAAATTAGTTAATTCTATTAAACAGGAAGACAGAACTTTTGTCTTTTTCTTAAAAACCCTTAAACTAGCTAACTACTATTTTATTCAATTGAAACAAATACAAGTTTCTGACTTTTAGAAAACATATAAATATATAATAATCTTTTATTTATTATATAAAATTTAATTTTTAAGGATATGCATTAAAAATATTTATACATCAAAGAGAACATTTAGCAGGATCTTCTTTGAGTCAAACAAACAGCTCTTGTAATATTTGCTACCTAGTACTACTTTTATTCCCCAAAATTTTCAGAATTTCTATCAGTAATATTATATACAGTACTCTGTTAATGACTTTTTTAGCAAATTACTAGAATATTTTCAACAGAAATCTTCTATTTATGCCTAGTTTAATCTACCTCAATTGAAAAATATTATTTTTAAATTCATTTTTAGTTTTAGATATACCTGCTCTTCTGGTAATATTATTGAAATAATCAATACTATAGCTAGTTTAGCTGTATATACTAGTTGCTTTTATAGAAACTCTTTTTCTTTAACTAATAAAGATTTTGAAGATAATTGCTTTTATAATGATTTTGAAGATTATAGTAATTCATTTCAAAATCTTTTCTTTTTAACAACTTCTAACTTAACACAATCTAGTCCTACATTCAAACCTGCTAGTCTATTTATTAATGCAATAACTACTAATTAACAAATCTATAACTTCTTAAAGGAAAATAAAAAAGAAATATGTTATTAAGAATTAAACCATTCAAAAAGAATAGAACTCAAGATCTTCTTACTTGGATTGAAGATTTTGATAAAGCTTCTAAACCAAACAAATGAAATTTAGCTAGAAAAAAGGATATTTTCACTGCCTTTTTAAGAAATAACACTGATAATTAGACCACTACTGTTCCCAATTACACTAATAGAGAAACAACTTGGAATATTGTAGAAACAGCTTTTACAAATACTTTTTGCACTCAACAATGACAAAATAAATAGCTTAGAGACTTGGATACTTTAAAACAATAACCAGAAAAACCTATAGACTCTTATTATAGTAGATTTAAAAGATTAATCAAACAAGTTAATACTAGAACCTTACTTCAAGATGTACAGAAATTATACTATTTCAAGAAAGGATTATGTTTAGTAACTCTACCTATTCTTCTTACTTATAACCCTGCAGACTTAGATGGACTTCTTTGACTTGCCAAGACCTACAAACAAGGAACTGACTTTGCTACTAATGCTGACTCTGGTTTAACTAATCCTAATATTACTATATATAAAAAAAAAATATAACAACTAATCAAACAAATGAACTAGATGCCATTAAACTATGCATCAATTGCATCTGCTTTAAGTGCTCAAACTGAATCACAAACTCAATATTATCCAAACCAACCCAGACAATTTTACCAAAAACCAAAACTTACTAATAATCCAAGACCTAATAACTATCCAAGATTTGCTAATAATTCAAAACCTACTATTATTTATTATCAATATAGTAAACATGAACACATTGCTAGAGACTGTATAGCAGAACAATACTCATCAAAGAACAATATTATCAGATGAATGCAAAACTATAGACAAATAGAAAAATTAACTATGCTGCTGTAGAAGATGAAAAATATTATTTAGATGAAGAAGAAGTTTATATTATTCATACTCCTTATCTTAAACCTTATAGTACTAATTAAAAAGTACAAAAAGAAGCCCAAAGAGAAACTTAAAAGAAATCAGAATCTCAAAAGAAGATTAGATTAAGAAACAGAATTGTATTTTCTAATGAACCTGAATTGGAAAACATGATTAATAAACCAATTGAAGTCCTTAAACTTCCCAAAACTACTAGAAAAAGAAATCAAAAACTTTCTTTTGTAATTGACCAATTGGAACCTTATGATATCTTCAAAGACCTCTTGAATAGACAAGCTCAAGCTACTTATAGACAATTATTGAAATATCCTAACCAATATAAAAACCTTGCCCAAACTATAAAAAGAGGTAATGCACCTATTACTAAAGCAAACCATGTAGAATTAGGATTTAAACGAAAGATGGTAGCAATGAAATACTATGTAAATATTAAAGAACAGTCAGTAGTAGCTATTCTTGATTCTGATGCTACCATTAGCATAATTATAGCTAAATTAAGAGACTTGGACTAAAAATCAACCAAGAATCAAAAACTATTGTTATTACTGCTAATGGAGCTAGAGAAAAAGCATTAGGTTCTATTACTGATATAAAAATTACTCTTCAAAACATCACAATCCCTATTGACCTACAAGTAATTGAATCAAAAGATGTGATACTTTTGTTAGGAACTAATTGGTTCAACAAGTCTAGAGCAAATCTGAATTTTGATAATCATATTCTAAAAATTAGATACTTAGAGAAAAGAGCCACTATTTATACAACTCATGTAAGTGGAAAGTCAGTACCTAAAGAATTTGAGGAATTTACTGATAAAGATAAATAGATTGATAAAATTGAATAAGACAATGAAATGGAAACTTATTATACTAAAAAGAAGAACAAGAAAATTAAAAATTTATTCTATAACCTCTAGATTGAAGTTATTACTGAAAAGAACCCAGCAGCCTATGTTGCTCTTACTGCTGAAGTTGAGGTTCAACCTTCTATTATGCAAGTCAACACTTCTCTCACTAATTCTGAGAAAAAGATTGCAAAGAAAATTCTTCTTAATAACTAACATATTTTTGTAGAAAATATATCTGAAGAAGAACAAACCTTAGAACTAGGGCAAACTAATAAAGTTTGTTATGAAATTTATACTTCAGATGCTCATCCAATTAAACAAAGAGCCTATAGAGCTTCTCTAGATGATCAAGAATTCCTCAAAAAAGAAATTGAAGAAATGAAAAAAAGAGACATTATTAGAGAATCATGTAGCCATGGTCCTCACCTATAGTTATTGTGTCTAAGAAAAATGGCAAAAAGAGACTTTGCATTAACTATCACAAGCTAAATGCAGTTACATAAAAAGATATTTATCCTCTTCTTGATATTAATGAAATCTTATCTGTCTTTGAAGAAGCCCAATGGTTTACTAGCTTAGATCTGGCTAGCAGATATTGGCAAGTAGCTGTAAATAAAGCTGATAATAAAAACTGCTTTTATTACTAGACAAGATACCTATAAATTCAGATAATGCCTTTTGGACTATGCAATGCACTTGCCACTTTCTAAAGGTTAATAGACAAAATTCTACAACCATTTATCAACAAGTTTGTTGTAGTATATTTAAATAATATTATTATCTATTCAAAAATATTTGAAGAATATTGTCAACATTTGCAAACTATATTTAAAGCTTTAGAAGAAGCTAACCTGAAACTAAATACAGAAAAATGTTTCTTTTTCTTAAATAAATTAAAATTTTTAGGACATATTGTTGGAAAGGTAAAATAAAACCTGATGAAGAAAAGATTGCTAAAGTAAAAAACTTTTCAACATCTACTAATGTATGACAAATTAGAGGATTCTTAGGACTTGTTTCTTATTACAAAAAGTTTATAAAAAAATTTTCAAAAATTGCCAAATCTTTAAATCATTTACTACAAAAAGACCAACCTTATCAATAGGGTGATGAACAAAAAAAAGCTTTTTAGACCATTAAAGATCATCTTATCTCTGCACCAATCCTACAGTATTTTGACTTCTATCAGCCTTTTTACATTCATACTGATGTTTCACAATCTGGCTTAAGAGCTGTATTAGCTTAAATAGACAAAAATAAAAGAGAACATGTTATAGTATATGTTAGCAGAAGCCTTTCAAAAGCAGAAAAAACTACTCTGTTACAGAATTAGAATGTTTAGATATAGTATGGGCAGTTAAGTATTTTTATCAATACTTAGAAGAAAACCACTTCTATGTAATTACTGATCATGTAGCCTTAAAATGGCTTAGAACTACAAAATTAACTGGAAGAAAAGCCAGATGGATTATGCATCTAGAACCTTATAATTTTACTATAATCCATAAAGCTGGAAGAAAACACAATAATGCTGACTTATTGTCAAGAATGTATAAATTAAACTTGTTTGATTTACCTACTGAAACAAAAGCCCTTGAAGCTGCTCTCAAAGAAAACCTTATTACTATCTCAGTAGATTAAAATAAAAAAAAATCTTTTACCTTACTGAAGAACTTGAGAAAAATGAAAATTACTAGACTACTAAAGATTTTTATTTTATAAACAACTTTTGGAGTAATGTTAAATCTTTAAATAGAACAAAAATGCTTTCAACAACTAATCCAAACATAGAAAAGGAACCTGAAATGCATAAAGATATCTAAACTGCACAAGATCTAGAAGTAATTAAACAAATATTACATAACAAACTATTTTCTGTCCTTTTTGATAGTATGAGACCATATGAACAAATGACTTTCTCACCTGATAGAATAGAATATAATAACCAGTTCTATATATGGTATTATATTAAACATATTAGCAAACAATTTGGTATTAAAGATAAAAACAAAAAACTTATCCAAGATTAAAAAGGTCCCTGTGCTCAATGTTGGTGTAAAAATAAACTCTATAGCTCTTGTGATGAATGTCCAATCTGCTATGTTAAATTGTGACTTTGAACAACAATCAAACAATACTCCATTGAAGAAATAGAACAATGTTATCGGAGTATACCTAATAATGATTATAAAGAAGATCCAACCTTGTCAGAACCTTATCTTTATGAACCTTTATTCTTAGAACCTTTATTTGGACAACAGTTATACCCTTTGGTTATTCAACAAGCTACTACTAATATTCAAATAAACCATTATAATATCCAACTCAGTTATACTTTAATTGACAAACCTTAGTAGTTACTATTATTAGAGACCTCTTCTTAACATCTTTTGGATAAACACAACAACTTTTTCCTAACTATCTTTGTAACTCTGTGTAGTAGAATACACCTAACCCTACCTTCTATTATTAATTTATTATTTTTTCAAAGAAATTTAACAATAAGCACAATTTAGTCTAAGTAGTTAGTATCCTAGCATTATATCTGAAAATTTGTTAAAATAGAATTTAAATATTATTAAAATATCAAATTATTTTTAGAAACAACCACCTATCTTACATATTTTTCAAAAACCCAAAAAGAACAACTGCAAAAAAAAAGTGATATTTCTGTATTAGAAATAACTAATTATATAAAAAAAAAAAACAAAAGCCAAGATTCACTAAAAATAATTTAAAAACATAAGGTTGAATCTGTATTATATCTTATGCATAACTACCTTCTTGGAGCATATTTTAGAACTAACAAAATGTTTAACAAAATCAAAAGTTGTTATAATTGGCCCCAAATATATAAACATATTTGAAATTATATAAAGACTTGGAATAGTAGTCAAAAACAAGAAAAATATAGACAACATGGTCCTCTATACTCTATCAAAATAGAAGCACCTTTTAACAAAATTGAAATTGATTTTGTTGGACCACTCCCTCCTACTACTTAAGAAAATTGATATATAATCATTGCTATGGATTATATGACTAAGTATCCTGAAGCAAAGGCAGTGCCAAATACAACTGTGCAACAAACTGCTGATTTTGTCTATAAAGATATTATTTGTAAACATGGATGCCCTAATTTTATATTCTCTGATCAAAAAACTCATTTTAATAATTTGCTAATTGAAAGTGTGATACAAAAGTTTCAAATTAAACACTTGCTTGCTACTTCTTATCATCCTTAAACAAATGGATTAGTAGAATGTTTCAATAGAACATTGTGTGAATCTTTAGTGAAACTAGCTAATAATAATACTAAATGGAACAAATTAATATCTTCTGTCTTATTCTTATATAGAAGTTCTAAGCATGTAACTACTAAATTCACATTTTTCTTGCTTATTTATAGCAAAGAATCAAAAATTGCCTATATTTGAGTTTCAAGACAACTTAGAAGAAAATTTTTTAACAAGATTGTATACAATTGTAGAAGATTTATTTGCAAATAAAAAACAAGCTAAAAAAATATTGAGAAATCTTAACAATGACAAAAATTCTATTGAGACAAAAAGTTAAAGAAAGTTCAAAAACTATTTGAAAAAAAAGAGCAAGTATTGTGCTATAATGCTGCAAGAAATAAACATTACACTGAAAAATTTTTGCCAAAATAAAAAGGATCTTATTTTATTTATTCCAAAATAGCACAAGATGTTTACAAACTTTGTATTATAGAAGGACAAATTTTAGAAACACCAATTAATGCATATTTATTAAAAAAATACTATACTCATCAAACTTGAAACCCTACTATTATTATTTAATTAAAAAAAAATAGACAAAACCAAAAAAAAAAAGATATAAAAAAAAAAAACAAATAATAAAAAAAAAAAAAAATAATATATACATAGAAAAATTAAAAACCAATACCTGATATTCTATCTCTATTATTGTTATTTTTTTCTCTTCTTCTTTCTTCTGTCTTTAATCTTCTCAACTCCTCCTTATCATTTGCCAACCTAGCTCTCAATCTATTCTTTTTCTCTAACAACTAAGTATATTGTTGCTCTAACATCCAACTGTCTTGCACTCTTGTAATTATATTCACATTCAACTCTTCCAATTCTGTTTTCAAACTCTGTATACTTCTTCTTTGAGAGGCCACCAATCAATGTAAACTGTAAACAAGTTTTGTTAAATAACAAAAAAAAAAAATTTTTTTAAAAATAATATTCACTACCCATTTTCAACTTGGACTACTCCCAAGGCCTTATACAAGGCATTATTGCCATTTTGGCAAGCATGATGGAAGACTTTGGTAAGGCATTATTGTTATTATTATTGTTGTTATTGTTGATGTTGTTGAGGTTGTTGTTAAAAATTTACAAAAAAAAAAAAGAGGTGTGACAAAAGGATTATAATTTTTAATAAACAATAACAAAACAAAATTAGACACCAATAAGAAGTTAATTTACCAAATTTAGAAATTAATTAGAAATTGATTTGACAAATTTAGAATAACAAAGATTTCTAAGTTACATAATTGCAAATTACATAAAATTCTAGTATCTTATTAGACACTTGAAGTATCCTAATGATCTTTAAAAGGTGTACAAATTTAAAATTTAGTAATATTTCTGGTATAGATTAACAATATAAAATGTATTACCAGACAGTATAGGTTATATATTCGAGACTGGCTAGGGTGAGCTTTCTGCTAGGATCCAAGTTTTGTAAGGTCTTTGGTTAAAGTACTGGAAATAGAATTCTTTTTCTCTTTGAACAATTATACTTATTTTTTTTTATTAGAATATTCATTTTTATTAGTTAGATATTAATATTTTATTCTTATATATTTATATAGTATACTTAATATCCAAAAAAAAAAATTTTTTTTTACTTTTTATTATTTTTATCTTCAAAATAACAACTGTTATAGAAATATTTTTGCAGGAATTAACTGAAACAGAACTAGCTGATATTATCATTAAACTTTTTTCTTATAACCATAAGGATAAAACTAGAACAAAAGTTTATCTAACCTATCAAGCTCTAAGAAATATAACTAGGTTAAGAAACTATAAAGATAGCTATTTGAAAACTCTTATCTATACCTACTATTTAGGTGAACTTTTAAAAACCAAACCAAAAACTTTAGCCTAATGAACAGTATTGGTAAATAGGTTAACTAAGCACTATAAAATAGTCTTAACAAG